CCGGCCCCTCGAGCCCCGCAGCGGGGAGGGTGCGGGGTCCCAGCTCCTGTCCCCCGGGTGCTTCGGGGCATCCGACGGGGAGGGAGCTGCCAGCCAGCCCGGGAGTGGGGCGGGCTTATCCGGGCTCGGTAGACCAGTCCCTGGGAGCGGGGGGATTAATTGAGACACCATCTGAGAGGGAGCTACCGGTGAAGGGCTGGGGCTCGATCAGGGCTGGGTCCCCTGGAGCCGGAGCCACCCGTTTGAAGAAAAACACACAGTGGTCACAGGCATCGGTCGAAGCTGGCCAGGAAGCTGCCCGGAGCCTGCTGGGGAGTGCAGCAGCACTGCAGGGCCAACACTGTGGTGTTTGGGCCATGTAGCTTGCCTGTTTGGCAAGGAGACAGGGACTAGGGGTTCCTCTGAGCAGGAAAAGGGGAGCCCTGGTTTACTGGTGGGAGGGGGAGAAAAGCTGGGACTGGGGGTACCCTTTTGCCTCTGCACTGTGGACTTTGCCTAGCCATACTGTGCACTGTGCTGCAGTGAGAAGGAACTTTTTGGATCCGTGGATATTTCCTTGGGGACCTGCCAGGTGCATTATCATGGCACCCTGTGGCAGGCAGGATTGAGCCTCACCGCCCCATCCAGCTGCACCTCCCAACACCTCCCTGCCCTCCTTGCATGAGCTGGAACACCCATGGGTGAGGGATTGCTGGAGCCCAGGGTGGGGGCTGTGGGACTAGAAGAGGCAAGAACTGTAGATGTACTCTAGGGAGAAGAGATCCCCCATGTCAGTCCCAGGATGGGGGAATTAGGAAATGAAACACCTTGGAAAGACCTAGGCATGTCTGCCTGGCTCAGTATGTCTGAGTGGGATTTAGTGGAATGGGGATGAATGGGGAACAGCTGTTCCCTACTTCTTCCAGAGCAAGAATTGGGGACCACCAGATAAAATAGGTGGGTGTGAAGAAAGCAGGACAAAGTGGTTCTTTTTGAGAAATGTAGGTGAGCTGTGGGACTGCCTGCTGCAGAGGGGTGCCAAACCTCTGTATGGGATCCAAGCACCTTTAGACAAAATAGTGGTAGAAAAGCACTGGGAAAAGAATGAAATGCAAAGACACATCTTCTGCTGTGGAAAGAGCCTGTGCTGCAAGGTCTGGGATCAGGAACAGGGATGTGCAAAGGGTGCTGTCTGGGAGGCAGGGTGGGGTGTCTAGGTAAGTGCAGGGCTGCTCTGCAGCGTGGCCAGGTCCCAGAGGCAGGACTGCTCCTCAGCCAAAGGTCTGGGGGCCCTGGCCAGACACAGTGGAGCCTTGTGCTTCACTATGGGCATGTCCGGGTGTGCCAGGCTCTGGTGTGTGCACAGCCTGACACAGGGGAACCTCAGGCACCCACCAGGGATATTCCTCAGTACCAGCTTCAGGTGCAATGGCCATAGCTCAGAGAGAGAACGTTTTCCTCTGGAAAGAAGGAACACTGATGCCTATTTCATAATCACAGTCTTATCCTGTCCTGGTCTCTTCTTCCCTTATACCTGGCTCTGCCTCCCTGGGTGCAGGTCAGATCAGTGTGGCACTCTGACTTCAGCTCACCATGGAGACATCCGTGCAGGGCACAGTGTCACTAGAGATGGGCAAGGGCTGTGCTGTGACACCAGCCCAGTTTCAAGCAGATATGGCACTGGGGAATATTTGTGCTGAGATAGATCTGGTATGTCTTTCTTGGGGCTGCAGATGAAAGAACAAGGCCACATCCTCACACCAAAACAAACGAGCAGGTATTTATCTTCAGTAGTGTGTGAATGTGGGTGGGAGGGATGTGGAAACCCTGGATCCAGACCCACAGCAACCTCTGTTGACCTCTAGGCACTCCTATCTGTGTCCCAAGGTGTGGGGGTGCTCTCCTCCTCATACTTGGGGAGCAGGATGGGGTAGGGATGCTGCAAAGGAGACATCACCTCATTATCATCTTCTGTGTCTCTAGAGCAGGGAAGATGCAATGAGGTGCAGCTGAAAACTGAGTGTGGGAGGGGGCAACATAGTAGTGGGTCAAGGAGATTGGGGCACATCCTGTCCCTCATGTTGTGCCCTGGGAGTGAGCTTTAACCTCTCCGGGGCCCGGCCTTGCAGGCAGCGGGCAGATCCAGCTGTGGCAGTTCCTGCTGGAGCTGCTCTCGGACCGGGCCAACCTGAATTGCATCGCCTGGGAAGGCACAAATGGCGAGTTCAAGCTGATCGATCCCGATGAGGTGGCACGGCGCTGGGGCGAGCGGAAGAGCAAACCCAACATGAATTATGACAAGCTGAGCCGGGCGCTGCGCTACTACTACGACAAGAATATCATGACCAAGGTCCATGGCAAGCGCTATGCCTACAAGTTCGACTTCCATGGGCTGGCGCAGGTGTGCCAGCCTGCTGCCCCCGATCACACCCTCTACAAATTTCAGGGCAACCTGGCACCACTGCCCTTCTCGGGCATCTCCAAACTCAACCTCATGACCTCGGGGGTGACACCAGCTGGCTTCTCCTACTGGCCTGGCTCTAGCCCATCCCTCTACCCTGGGCATGGGCTCCAGCCCTCAGCCCCATTCAGTGCCATGGCAGCCTCCCACCTCAACAACATGAACAACCATTACCATTAGAGGCTCAGCTGGGCAAGGTGGGGGCTCCTTGTCCCTGGCAGCCTGGGGCTGTAGAATTGGGAAGCTCAGTGGGGAGGGATGGGGGGTGGGAGATTGTGCCCTGCTCTCAGTTGCCACCTTTTAGATTTGGAGAGTGGTGCAGAGGATGGGGGGTGGGGTGTGTGCTTGCAGGGCAGCTGGATTGATTCCTTGATGTAGGTGGCTGGAAGAGAGAAGCCACCTAAATTTAAGATGAGGAGGTATCCATGATCCTGTGAACAGATGTGGATACCTAAAGTAGGGTGTGAATGGAAGGGAAAACCATGGGCTCCCCTCTTGGCAGGGACTGTGCCCCCCCTTTCCTTTGCCACATGCTACCCACTCCATGAATGTCCTTAGCTCTGCCACCAGCCTGTGTCTGCCCTCTCCTCTCTTTGAGAGAGGAGTCAGGAGCTGGGCCCATGAGGCAACTGCATCCATGAATAAGGGTCCCACTGAGTAGGCACAAGGAAAGGGAACCTTCCTTGGCAACTTTGTACCCTTGCCTTTGTCTCCAAAGACTTCCTTTCCTCCATCCCTCCTACATCCCCTGCCTTCAGACCTCAGGAGAAGCCTTGGTATGGAGGGCAGATGCTCTTCATGGATTAATGCCTGCCCAGGGCAGGGCTCTGTAGTTAGAGGTGCCAGGGGCAGGTGTGGGGCACACTGCCAGTCCTCAGGGCAAGGCAAGAGCTTGGAGGCAGCATAGCTTGGTCCCTCTCCCCGGTGCCTGAGGATCACACCACAGATGGTCCCTGCCACCCTGCACATGAGCCCATGTCCTACTCATCACTTCCAAGATTAATATTCCAGTTTTATGCTGGCTTTAGCCCCTCACATGTAGGGCACGGTGTGACACCCTCCATAGGTGGAGGCAAGGACAAGGCAGGGTGGGAGGTGCAGCAGGACAAGGGATGACAGCAGGACTGGGAGCCCCAGGCACCAAGGAGCAGCCATGGGTCTCTCCCTCTGGGTTCAAGGAGCTGCCCTCATCCTCCGGAGCAGGACTTTGGCCCAGTGGATGCAGAAGAGCTGGGCACACTGGACTCCACGCTGGCTGGGGAGTGGGATTGGTCTTCAATAAAACAGAGAGGTGCTGTGACCTGTGTCCTCTCCTGTCTGCAGGGAGCTGGCAAGAGGGGGTACCACTCAGCAAAACCCCTCCCATTTGATCCAGAGCACCTGCAGGGCTGGGGTGGGGAGGATGTGCCCACCCTGCTGCATCCCCTTTTCTCCAGACATCACCTCTGGTTCTTACATCCCCCAAGAGACAGGGGAAAGTGGAAACCTACAGACTTACTTCCCCTCCAGGGAGCCACATATGCTGTCTCAGGCTGGTGAGAAGACATGGCAACTGGAGGCAAAGAGGACATGCAGTTGGGCTGGAAGGATGTTGTAACTCACAGAGCCCTGTGCAACCAGTTTGGGTCAACACACTGGGCCCAGCACAGCCACATGCTGCACCAGGCCAGGCTCATGTGTGATGTTCATGCAGGGGGTGAGTGGGAAAGCACTGCTTGCCCAGCTCCAGGAACATGCCTACACTGGTGCTCACAGTGGCTGCTGTGGGCTCAGGGACCACCATCTGCTTGTCCCCTTCCTTGCGGCTTTGCTGTCCATCCCACTACCCTTGGAGGTCCAGGGTGCCAGGGCTGGGTGCCAGGCTTACAGCAGGGATTGGACTGGCTGTGTAGGGGGGAGCTATGCAATTACTCAGCCCATGGACAGGGTGGTCAAATCTGGGGGCTCTATGCTGCCCCCTCTGCATCCCTCCAGACTGTTCACTCTCCTAGCCTTGGTGGCATCTGCTCTGATGCATCCTCACTGCCCTAATCAGCTTAAAAGAGGGGGATCTGATGTCGTGTGTCCTCTGGGGAGGGCTCAGGCTGTGAAGTGGGGGGGCCTGATGCTGCCAGTGGGGAGCCCATGCCTGGGAAAGGAGTTGCAGAGACTCGAGGGATCTCCAACTGTTGCACAGTCTGGTTCCCAAGGATGGCAGGAGGTGAATCAAGGGGGAAAGCAGCATGGAGACAGGCTGGAGACACCCCCTGTCCCCAAGCTTGGCTTTACAAGGGCAAAATGGGGGGGCTGGCCACAGCTGGCTGCCTCAGAGGTGGGGTAGAGGGGTGTGCCCCTGCCGAGGGAGACTGCTTCAGGGTTTAGGTAACTGCATGACGCAGGGTTGGACATGGATTAAGGGATGTGGGTCACTAGTAGCTCCCCCCTCCTCCCCCCCTTCCCCATGCTTATCCCTCTTGTCCCTGTGTCAGTGCCTGCACCAAGGAAGCCCAGGTGAGTCCAGTCCCCTCCTCATTCTCGACCCTGCAATCCGAGTGCCTGCTGCATTGGAGGTGGGACATGCTGAGGGAAAAAAAGGGGAGCTACGTTTTTGGGAGAGGAAGGACCACCGTACACCTGCAATGCAACAGGCTGCAGCTGAGGGCTTGCTTCCCTCTGCTCTGAGCTCACCTGGCACAATCCCACTACTCTGTCCCCAGGGTGCCACCCCAAAGACAAGGAACAAACCCTGCACTCCCCAGGGACGGCAGCCAGGAAGGAAGGTAGGGTACACTCATGCGGGGCTGCACCAGCGATGCTCTCGTCTGCCTGACGATGCAGTCGGTGTCACCATGGCAACTCGGGATGCTCCCATCCCTAGGCCCCACTGGGAGCCGCCCCCTCTCACAAGTGCTTACCGGAGGGGTGAACAGAGATCACCTTCACCCAACCCACCCCTCCCCCTCCCCAGAGCCTCGTTTGACCAAGCCCACCAGCAGAGCTGCTTTCTGCAGTTTTCTTCATCCACCAAAACTGCCGGCTCAGAGCAGACTGCAGCAAAATCCTGCCAATGGGCAAGCGGGGCCGAGCCCAGCACAGCTCCCGGCAGAGCATCGTCCCTGCCCCCCACCAGGGGTGCCCAGCCCGGGGGGCTGATGAGGGAGCACCATCCCTGGCAGTGAGGTGCACCAGCTGTGTGTGAAGCCTGCCTTAGGTGTCTGGTAGCAGGTTGCATAGGCCCAGTGCACCCATGGGCATCTGACCTACCTGCAGGGAGTCCTTGGATGCCTAGTCCAGGGTGAAATGGTGACTGTGGTCCCAAAGGGCTTCAGCCTGTGTTGGGAAGTGAGGGAGCAGAGCACGTGGCCAGGCAGCTTCTTCTGCTGCCCTGTGATTAAAGGCAGGATTTTTTCCCTACTTAAAAAATATCTTTGTATCTAGATTTGCTTAGCTGGCAAGGGGGCAGGATTGAGCCCTGCCCTGGCCTCAGCCTCCTGCCAGAATTGCTGGGGGACCCTCCAACTTCCCCAAAGCCTTTCAGTTCCACAGTAATGCATCAGAGGGGGAATGGAGAAGCCCTTCTCCAATCTTAGCAGAGCCATGTTTCCACTTGCTTTATTTCTCACACTGGGAAGAGCCTTTGCAGCACAGCCAGGCCACTTCTGCCCTGGGGGACATGGGCTGCCTCCATACCCATCCCTGCTCCCCTTCCAGCTCTCCCAATTCCCACCTCTCTGCATGCTGGCTGTGCTGGCGCCTCAGCACCCCCACCCCCAAGCTGCTGACTCACATCCTCTCTCCAGACGCCACCTTCTCTTGGCCTGGCTCCCTGCAAAGTGCTTCGTGACTTAGTGTGGCTCACCCAGAGCCCGCAGGTGCGGGCAGTCGAGCTCCAAAAACCCCTATGAAGTCTCTCCAAGGAACCAACTGTGGTGCTTCCAAAAGATGCAGCTTTCTCCCTTGCCAGCGTGCTCAGGGCTGGGGCTGTACTGCCACCATAAACCCAAACATTGTTCCTGCTGCCATCAGCTCTCTGGTGTCTATTGAGGGCTGGCAAGGAGACAATGTCCTGGTGCTGCTGCTGTCCAGCTGTACATTGAGACCTTGGGCTGGACTTTACTGAGGGCAGGACTGGGTAGCAGGAAGACTGGATTAATGTGCTAATGCCAGATTATGCTCTAATGCAGGACTTCTGATGAGGGAGCAGCCCCCAGTCCAGCCTGGGGCCACTAACTCCCTGAGGCAGACTCTTCACAACTGCCCCAGGCCACAGCTTGGTGCTGCCTGGCTGTTCCACAAGCTCAGTCCTCAGGGGTGACAAAGGACCATGAGACAGGCAGAGGACAGAGAACAGGATAACCTCCATGCTCAGCTTTCAGTGAGCTAGAGGTAACGCCCCAATCTAGGCAGCCCTGGTCCTCTGCTCTGCCAGGCTCTGTGGCAGAAAGATTAACCATTACAGAAGGACTCAGAGGCATCTGGTTCCCCTTCACCTGCCCCAGCTTCCTGGCACAGAGCTGTTCCCAGTCTGTGATCCTCAGTCCCATATCTACCAGCCAGGCAATGCCACAGTCCATGCTTTGGCTGCAGTGGGGACCAAACTGTCTGCCATCCCACCTCCTTTGGTCTCATGCCTGACACTGGGCTACTCTGGGCACAGGCAGAGGTCTTGTAGGTTCCCACCCAGCCTGGATGTGTTCCCCATCAAGTGAGACCCTGTGGTGACTGTCCTGCTCCTCCCTGGGTACAAATATCTCATCAGTCAATTTAGTTTAGGATCCCTCATGTTCTCTGCCATTTTCTGCCATCTCCCCAGGTCATTCTGTCCATGTATTCCCCCCCCAGACACCCCACCAGTAGCTGTGACTGAGCTGTCATGGAGGAGGGATGGGACCAGAAACTTGCAGCCACAAGTCATCCCCAATTCAGCAGAGCAGCAATAGCCCAAAGCTGCAATGGAGCCAGCATCTGAGTAGCTCCCACAGAGGCAGAAGAGAGACCTCCCACTTCCATCTGCCTCGAGGAACATGCTATCCATCATCCTCACAGGCAAACGAAGAAGGGCTTGCGCAGAAAGCTGAGCCGAGACAGGTCCTTCATCAGCCACACGGGTGCTGGGTCTGCATCATCCTGAACAGTTTCCTCCCCATGGAGCACCTCCAAATCACTCTGGGGGATGAAGGCAACTCTTAATAGCAAGAATA